CAGAAATACTTTTGCCGGGTGCCGTAGGTCTTAAGTAATTTCCTGTTGTACGTTGACAGTAATTTGTAGTCCAGGAGGATCTCCAGCTCAGATAAAAAACTGCCTCTAGCTTTGATTAGATTCCATGTAAGGATCTATTTACATTTCAGACACAACGCCATCAGTCCTCAGATAACTTCTAAGATATATTATTAAAATATTAAACAATTTCAGTGTGAGATACTATATGTTTAAAATAACTGTTCAAAAGATCTTTTCTTAAAACTAACAAACCTTGTTGTTTTATCACTTCCAGAACGGTATTTACAGGCTTAAAAAAATTTATCTAGATACACTGTAAGATTCTTCATAATCTCTATGATAAATAAATGTTGGCATCATGATATTTCTTATTAATAACCTACCTTGAAGCAGCAGGGATTCCTGTCATTAGGGGAATTTGGGAAACGTGGTGGCAACAGCACCCCCTACTGGTCGGTGGCGGAAATTCTCAGGGCTGCGGTCCTGATGCTGCGAGATGGAATGGATGCTGCACAGCGATGGGTGGGGGAGTATGAAGTAGGATTTGATGGAGGAAAAAAATGTGCCTCAGTCTCTGTGGCGCAATGGAATAGCGCGCTGGACTTCTAATCCAGAGGCTCCGGGTTCGAGTCCCGGCAGAGATGTGTTTGTGTGCTGGTACAGTTTTTTGGGGATATGATAGATCGATGCAAATGTGTTCTTTTTTTAGCCTCAGCATTTTAAATATTTTAAGAAAGATGCTCTGCATGCTTGCAACACACATAAAGAAAGATTCAATGTTTCAGATATATCCAAGCTCATAGCAGATTCTTAAGGCTTAAGGTTTTTTTTTAAGGTATGTAAATGTAAAAAACAAAACAAAAAACAACGTTAAAATACACCCACGTCTACCAGCACAGAACACCTTCTGGTGCTCCTGGGGCTGCACGCTCAGTAGCACTCAGTCATCACACAAACACAACAGGACAAGTCAGTTTAGTGCAGCCTCACCGAGGCAAAGTCACCGTTTCAGCACCTGGAGCTGTCCGCTCCTCATGTGCAGCGCCAGCAACAAAGCATTTAAAGCCTTTTCCACCCTCATAACAAGTGCTTAATGATGCCAGATGCTGCGTCGCTGTTCTCAAATATGGTGTAATGGCACAGAGACAGACAGAGATGGAGTGTCACTGTGACAGGAAATGGTGTTTCTTTAAGATTGCTGAATGCAAACCGTGTGTTAATTCAGTAAAATCAGAGGGCTGTGCTCTGTAGAATGAATTAAAAGAGTTAAAGGTGGATTTTTTGTTTACAGTCCCACATTGGCTTAATCTGGAAAACCTGATATTTGCATTTATTTATTATTTATTTTACTTTTTCTTCCACATGTTAAACAGATGCTTGCTTAAAGATTTTACATACTGGTTTGTCTTTGTTCTATATTATTTAACATATTCATCTAACCCCACCACACACACACATTCCCCCAAAGGATTCCTTTTTTCCTCGCCATCACCACTGATTGTGCTGCCGTGCGACTGCCACCATCCACGTTTAACCCCATCATGCCTCCCTACATGCAAAAACCTAATCCGCCAGTAAAACTAATCCTTAATCCCTCTCTGGCAAGTTGAACAACCCAGCCTTCCCTATGTCCCTTCACCCATATTAAAGCTCCTGATTCCTAAATGGTCCAGATGTATAAAATGTCAGTATAGGACACCACAGATCACTGAAGAGTTTCCTTCATTTAATAATAAACAAACAAACAAGCTGTTACAGATACATTATTTAAAATAAATGATTCAACAAATTAATAAATAAATATGTGGTATTTTAGAAAATCATTCAGCTTTTTAGAGATGACATTTAATACATTTTTAAAGATGGACCCCCAAGGCCAAAGACTGAGTAACGTGATTATCATATTGCAAATTATCAAGCCTGTGGGAGATAATAAGGAGCATATCTACCAGAAATGGGTAATAGCTCTATATCAGCTGATAAGAAACATCATACTCCACTGAATACTATGACAATCTGCTGCAGATGACCTCCTCGTTTTAGGAAATTAACCACAGTGTAGGCCTAATCCATCAGATAGGTGGCTACACTAAAATATCAGCATTGGATAGTATTTAATTTGCCCTTCAAATCACTTTGATTTGAATCAAACTCATCAGTTCTTCATAAAGAACATTCAGTGAGTTTTTGTTATATAATTTATTAATTTTTTAGGTAAAGTGGCATAAATTATAACTTCTAACAAGATTTAACATTGGTAAGACCCACCTAAAGATTTAAATGATCATTTAATTGAAGATGTTGATCAACTGTGAGTGGTTGTTTGACAGGGATTAATGAGCCTGGTTTGTTTATAAGGTTTGTATTATGAAAGAGGTATAAACTCACATTAAGTTAAACCCATAATACGCATGTTTGAAAAAACTTCCACATTAAGTTTGCATTCAACTTAAACTAGAAACAGGACTACTGCTAATACCACCAAGCAGAGCTTTTTAACCCTGAGGCAGCTGTCTCTAATGAACGGCAAATCAAGCGGAAATTCATTGTGGGGGTAATTATACAGGTAATTAGTTACAATTCAGTTAATACTGAAACCACAAACGTATGCAGTAAGCTATGAATTCAGAGACAATTATTTTACTATAGGAATAAAAAAGTCTATAAGTCCTTATATGATTTTTATTAATCAAACATTAGTTTTTAAAATTATATCTATGTCTTACAAAGAATCATTTTTCCTCATAAACCTCAACAATTATACTTTTAAAATGCCCAAATGTAATTGTGAAAAGTCCACTATTTATTTAATATTTTTTTTTAATTAATTAAAGCACAAAAAAGGGAACTTTAGGAACTTTCGGCCAGTATAGAAACTGACCTACAGAATGACATTGGAGGGTAGAGTTTAATAGCTAATGTTAGTACTGATACACAGGTCTAATGGAGGCAGAGGATCCCTCTACCGAAACTAGTTCTGTACTAGAGAGCCATAAACATCTGCATATTAAACATATAAATAATAATAATAATAATAATACAATTCCCAGAGCAGAGTTCCTCCTTAACGCTGTTCTTTCTGACTGCAAAGGAATAACCTGACAATGCTTGGTTTCCTATAGTGTTTATCATAGTAAGACTATGTAAAGCAACTGTAAACTAATTTAGCAAAGTATTTAATCCAGGCAATGCAAGTTTATTATGTAACACAATTAAGTACAGTGAGAATTTAAAGTGGTTTACAATAATTAATCAATAAAATAAAAGGAAAATAAAAGCAGAATAAAAGCAGGGCAGCTAAAAGCTGAAAACATTAGTTTATTTTATCTGCTAGTGCTGTTAATGTCTCCCCTCAAAATTGCTTCTTGATGGTTATTTTGGAAAAAACAGGACGGATTGATTTATTTTCCCCAAATACGCTCATAAAACGTTGGTTTGCCTAACATGGATTGGTGGCTCATCTTCCAGCTGAAACAGGGATCAACACTGGAAGCAGAGGGGTCTGCCTTCACCATCAGGAGATCCAGATCATAAACGCTTCATGCGCCTCAAGTCATAAAAATAAAGGGCATATCTTCATTTTCTTTTGTTTCTGTTTATTTATGTTTGGTGAAAATGACATCACTGTTTTTAATAAGCTGCTCATTGTTTTCATCACTCAAAACACAGCAGATTAAGGGACTTATCTTTAGCCATTTTTTATTTTTGAAATGTATAAAGTTCCTGACCACTGAGCAGCAACTTTTCTAATCAAAAAGCCCTGATTATATGTAAACAAGTAGATCAGCAGGAACTAATCTATCATTTCATTTTTGTTCTTGTTCACTCTGTCCAAACTGTAGATAAAGTTAAACATGAATGTAACAGTGTTGTTCTACAAGGGTGATAAAATTCCTCAAACCTTGATAAGGTCAGGGTAGAGTCACTGTGGAGTGTTACAGGGACATTATGGTGATATTTCGGTGCAGTGAGATCCCATATCTGTTCCATCGCATTCATGTTGCTCTCAGCCAGGAGGCCCCTGCTCTGGCTCTGTTATCCCGGCGGTGTGGGCCAAATCGTATTATAATCCCCTCCCTCCCTCCTCCCATCTCTCCCCTCCTTGTCCCCTCCCCTCCCGCTCCGTCTTTCAGACAGTCTGTTTTTGCTGCAGTGAACGGTAACCGTGGAGAGGCGCAGATAGCCTACAAACAGTGGAGGAAAAAGAGCGAAGGAAAAAAAACTAAACAAGGAGAAACAAGAAATAACGAGGAGATTATTCCAAGAATTAAACAGAGAAGGCGCCGCAGTGGAAAGAAAAAAGCTGCGTATCAAGAGGAGAGTCGTCAGTGGAGGGGACCTTACTGTAAAGCAGCAAGAGAACCCGGAGGAGCCAGGAGGAGGAATATAACGGTGTGTGCTTTTAAAACGTGCGCTGCTCCAGTTTGTGTTGTGGTTCAGGGTTTGGCTTGGTGGCTGTTTGCTGGATGGGCAGGAGACACCTGTCAGTGCTGACGCTTTTCCGTCTCCAGGAATGTCTCTGTGTGCGCGCGCGTTACGCAGAGCAAGATCTGGGGAATCTGTTGTTTTATCATTTACAAATAAATAAAAAAAATGAGTTTTCCGGTGCGCTCTTTGACTGTGGTGCTTTGTAAAACAATAAGAATCGGAAAGTCGCTGTGAGTTCATCTCCTCCCAGAGAGCGGAGGTTTTCCTTCTCCAAGTGCGAGAGAAGATGTTAGAAAACATTTCTTGGTACCCGTCGCAGCGATGCAGGTAGCGCCAAACATGACCTGCTGTTCCGGTTATTGTCGCTTCTGTTATTACTTGCAACAAAAAATGCTCAGAGGGAACTTTGGGTTCAACACGCCCATATATGCAGGCAGAGAAGAAGGCGCTTGGGGGGGTTATTTCCCATGGATTCACTTGAGTTTTGTTTTCATTTCTCGCCCTCACTCAACAGGAAGGACTGGAGTAACAATAAACATAAGCGCGCAACCCCCTCCTTCCATTCCCACACATCCCATCCCCTGAAAAAGGCTAGACCCCCCCGCCC